ACGTGAACGATGATTTTTTAAGTAAAAAGAGCATTCTCAAACATTCTCAGACTTTACCCTTTTAAATTTTATATATATTTTTTATTCTATTTATTCTTTAAATTTTCTTTGTTATTTATATTCTTTGTATTTAATATTCTTTATGAATATATATTATCTATAATTGTTTTATAATTTCTGTATTATTTAAAAATTTCTTTATATTATATTATTTATTATTCATTTTTTATATTATTTTAAATCATTTTTTATCATTTTTATAATTATTTATAAACAAGTTTATAATTTAATTTACCAGAAAATAGCAGATAAAGTTATTTACAAAAATGTTATCTAACAATCACAATTTTTGCAATTACTACAATTTTAAAATTAACAACAAATACAACACCAATAAATCCAACAAATTTAGGATAATAATAATAATAATAATAATAATAATAAATTTTTTCCCAAATTTTATATCACATATCGAAGCATCCTCATCATTTACTCCGTCACCTCGATATGCTACTAGTTCTATATTAATTGGTACAAAATTATATTTCTTCGGAGGATGGGCCAAAGATTCTGATAATATAGAAAATTGTCAAAGTGATATTTTCTATTTGGATATTTCGAATTCTTTTAATATTGAAGATGATAATCAAAATATTCCATGGATTGATCTTACATCCACTGCCGAAATACCGGAAAGAATATGTTGGCATAATAGTTTAAAAGAAATAAATAATAATACAATATATTTATTTGGAGGGATAACTCAAAATATTAAAAGTAAAGAATTAACTTTTGATACATTATTATATAAATTTGATATTACATCACAAAAATGGAGTAAACCTTCTTTAACAGGAATTTCACCTGGAAGAAGAATAAGACTTGAAATAGTTCAAGATAATAAAAATGATATAGAAAATACTTATATATTTGGTGGATTAACGACGAATAAGATAATGTGGTTTAATGATATGAATATTTTAGATACATTAAAATTAAATTGGTTATTAGTGGAAACTTCTGGTATTAATATTCCTCCTCCTCAAGCTGATTTTACTACTACTTTATTATCCAATGGAATTATTCTTTATATTGGAGGAAGAGAAGCAGTAAATGTATACGGTGATAAAATTACATACAAAAAAATGGATCAAGTAATTATCTTTCCTTTTTTTATCTTTACCATAAATTTATTTATTTTCTCACTAATAGCATTTTTATTTTTATTTTTTTATTTTTATTCTTTAATTATAGATTTGGACTTATGA